GTTAACGCTAATTGTGAGTACGCTTCGTAGCAAGCAGAGCTGCTTACAGGCTGCAAAAAACCTTTGTTTAGCTGGATGCAATGAAATTTTTGCAACTGCCGTTTTAGAACGTACTTGGTTTTATGATTTTCTATGATGTCTTGGCTGCCATGATGAATCTGTGGCTCTTGATATATCTACGTGCCCATTACAGAACAATGCAAGGTATCTGCTCGTTAAATAGACATAATTAAAAAGTTCTAGGCAAAAACCTTTCACCCAGCCAGTTGGCCGCACAGAGAAACGCGCAGCTAGGCTTATTTCTGTCGGCAATGCTGCCTGGAGCCCTGCAAATGGGAACCATGCTGCAAATCTTCTTTGCTATTGATCGTCAGTTTTGAACAGGAATTGGGTTTTATCAGCTCAGGGATGGGCTTATTATGCTTTGGTCGACTAGGCTTAGGGTTATGCTTTCGCGTACGACCTTGCTTCTTAACGTTATTACGTATTAAATAAGGCTGTCTTTGAAGAGATTCCGACCACTTCTGCGCTTACTTTCTTTCTACGCATCCTCGGGCGATCTTACCACTTTTTTATCGTGGCCCTGCCATTCATTTTTATTCGCATTTTTCAAGGTAGGCGTGACTAGAGAGAGTGAGAGAGAGAAATGCCATTAATGAATACTCGTTCAGAGCAGTTTGTTACTTTGGTGTTTGGGAGAGCAATCAGCGACAAGGTCTTCCCAGTAACAATCTGGACCGACACGTCTGGGAGGCGGAGAACGGTTATTGAAGCGAATACGGCGACTTAGGAACGCTGTACATCAGTGCTGACATGTCGCTCCTGGATTCGGAGGATATTTTAATCAATAATCTAGATGAAAAAACTTTGCATTGTGTCTGGACATCTAGAAGTCGTAGCGGAAAATCAAATCCATAAAAAATTGGCAATCGACAATTCGCAGTAACCTTGAAAAACGTAAAAAGAAAATCTAATGGATGTACGGCATTTTCACGGATAGCCATGCTCCCGAGCCCGTATTGAAAGCATCACACTACGTTGCGAAACACCTTCCGGAATCAGGCGCACAAAAATTTGTTTCGTTCGTAAAATGAACAGCCCGCTCGTTACGAATGTCAAGAAAATCATCGTCGAGCCGAGCCAAATGTATTGCTGATCGCTAGCTGCCAAAGCAGCCACAGCCCGGTCCAGCCATAGCAGGAATTGCGATATCTGAAAGCTACCTAATGAAAATAAGAGAGATAAATAACAGATGATTACCAGCATTACAAATTATTTTCCTTACAAGCAAATCACTCACCAAAAAAGCTGGATACGCATAGCACATTCCTAGGATTTCTCTTCGTTGTCCGATCAAAGTAATGATAAAAGCCACGATGTAAAATACAAAGCCGACAGCTGATAGTCTAAAAATCCTATTTTCATGGGTTGATAAAATTATCTCATACCCGTAAACCGATATCAAAAACCCAACAGAGATATGCCACATGCCTAGGTTAGCCACAAGACCGCAAACAGCATCCAAGCTCGTTGTGTTTGGATACGCTCTGGAACGGCACGGTAAAGACGGTTATTGCCTTCATAACATTATCACTTTCCTCGATTATACAAATTTTGATAGTCTATCAACATATGCCCATACATCCAGGAGCCTCCGCAAAAATGTAAAACTGCCGAGGAATAGGAGGCTAGCGAAAGAGCTTCTAGTTGGGGTTACAACTTTCGAGCTTACCGTGAGAAAATTCGGGCGGCACTGTTTGGATTTCATAGTCAAAAAAAAAAGGAAAACCAAACGAGGGACAGAGAGGAAGCTGTTTTGCTCAGATCGGGAAGCTCGATAAGGGAAGCTTAAGCTGATTTTCCGGGTGCTTTTGTGATAAAAACTGAGGTCTGGCCTAGTGAACTAGAATTTAGTGGCGGGATCATTTTGATATCGTAATTGATTGTACTCTGTAGCTGTGTACTCTTATTTTTGTAGATCCTTTATACATCAGTTGGTTATAATTTAAACATATCCTTCCTTCGCCCGTAATGACAACATTATACTCCGCTTCGACACTCCTTCCGGGACAATCCGCACAAAAATCCGTTTCATCCGTAGTACGAATAAAGCAATTGTGGAAAATGTGAGAAACAACATGGCGGCCGCTAGAAACATGTACCGCTCGCCATCCACCTGCCACGATGAGACCGCCGCATCGAGCCACATGAATAATTGTGACAACTAGGCATTAAGGAGAATAAAACGGCAATTAAGCGATTACCAAAAAAGCCGGATATGCATAGCAAAGGCCCAGAATTTCTCTTCTGAGCCCGATTACGGTCAAAATAAATGTTGTAATGTAGAAAGTAAGACCAACGGAGCAGAGGCTAAAGTGTTAAGTTGTTGATCTGTTATTTTTTTGCGATGCCTCAGAGCTTGTCAGTTAAATTTTATTTAATAAACCAGCGCCCAAAACCCGCTTCGCGGGCCTTGGGCGCTGGAATGCGGCTTTTGCATGAAAAATTTGACTTTCCGATCACTCGGGTCCTTCGGACCCCCTCCCCTCTGCCGACCACACAGGCGAGTGCAACTGGCAAGAATGAGGAAATTTTTATTTTTCGCATTATACAAATTAGCCCCTCAGGGACCCCCAAAAATGAATAAAACCGGCCTTAACTTTGTAAACTTGTATTTTATCGAAATTCTGAGAACGCCATCGGAAACAGAAGGGTCGATTCCCCCGGGTGACGGAAAATTAAAGCATTTTATCCACGGGAAGGCCCTCAAATCGGGCCTCGAAAGTCACATCCACACACACACACACATACGCGCCAAAATTATATAAGGTAGGATAATCTTTAACGCTTACCAATAGAGTGCTATCAAACATCCTAGAGAAACGTTGTTCATCCCAAGATTTGCCGGATCATCACCTGGTATGGAGCTGCTGTTGTTTCGATCGATGCTAAAAAGTTTAGTTAGGGTATCTCAGGTATTTTTCTGGTACCCTCCACTGCTATATAGCGTTTGGTAATCGACCAGCATATGCCCATACATCCATAGACCACCAGAAAAGTGTAACACAGCTGATAGATACGAGAAAAACTAAAGGCGTGCTTCGACCTACCATCAAGATTTGTTTTACCGGTACACATAGGATAACGGGGGGGGAAAAAAATAACGGGGGCACTCAAACTTTTTTATATGATAAAAGTATTTTTAAATAAGCTTTTTTCGGGCTGTAAAAAAACTCTTAGTATATTTTTCGGTCCTCTATCGAATGGCATTTTCAAAATTTCGAAAATATTCAAAACGCCGAAATTTTTTTCCCCCCCTGTTATCCTATGTGCTGCCCATAGTTTTCAAAAATAGTTTTTAGGCTATAAAACTTTTATAATACATTTTTTTGCGTTGTAAAAAAATCTCTTAGTATATTTTTTGATGTTCTATCGATTCGCGTTTTCAAAATTTCGAAAATCTCAAAATTTGGCTTTCCCCCCGTTATCCTATGTGCTGCCCATGGATTTTGATCAATTTTTGTTTATTCGAAAAAAAATTTCATTTACATTATTTCGGGCTTAAATATAATTTTCCTAGGGCAGTTTTCGACGCTTTATCGAATGACGTTTTCAAAATACCGAAAATGTCGAAAATTTCGAAAATATTTTCCCCCCCTTATCCTATGTGCTGCCCATAGATTTTCCTCACTTTTTGTTTATTCAATAAAAAAAAACTATTACATTATTTCGGGCTGAAATTAATTCTCTTAGTATATTTTTCGACGCTCTATCGAATGGCACTCGCAAAATCCCTCAGTAATTGCAAATTTCATAATAATGAGTGCCCCCCCGTTATTTTATTCCCCCCCCGTTATCCTATGTGTACCGTTTTACCGTTGGAAAATCAGGACGAAAGCGTTGGGATTTCATCAAATAAGATGTGATATTAGGAAAGAAGCGGAATGATGTGCTTCGGACGCTGCCGATCAATAAGGAGCGCGCAATTTTAAGCTGATTTGCCCCAAGAGGTCAGATATAAACCGTGACGTGCGCGTTTCCAGCCAATTGAAAATCGATGCTTTGCCACCTGGGTTGTTCATTTTGGGTCCGGTCCGCGTCCGTCCGGCCCGGGACGCGGACCCGTCCCGTCCGCGCAATTTGCATAAAAAAATGCGGACGGGCTCGGACGGGTCCCGGACGGGCCGGACGGACGCAGTGCGGGCTGGGGCATCCGCGTGTCCGCGATGCAAATTACCGGAAGCACATGCAAAGTGAATGCAAGCAAATTAACATCTTAGACCGATTTTTACCTTTTCCTAATTTACATAGGTGCTTTCCTTGGACAAGAAGGCGAAAAACGGTCATTTCATCAATTATCATGCAAGTTTTGGCTATCCGCGCTTTGCATAGCGGGCTCGGCTACTTCCTGCGTCCGAGCCCGTCCGGCCCGTCCCGGACCCGTCCCAGCCCGTCCGCACTCCCGGAGCAAATTATTCGGACGCGGACGGGTCCGGGCCCGCGTCCGTCCGAGCCCGTCCGTGAACAACCCTGTTTGCCACCCTTATTCGATGATCTTGCTTGTTTACACGATTTGATTGCGTCTTAGACTCCAGTTTTGTCTTTCCGTTCCGGGCGTTTCGGCAAGCTGGAGGTATGAAATCTCACACCGAAAACTGTATCTCGTGCGCGTAAAGAAATGGCATTTATTAACAATCCCGCTCTCTCTTCAGAAGAGACATATCGATTGTTCGCGTTGTAGATATACGAATTGTTGTTTTGAACTAAAAAAAAAAAAAAAAAGAAGACCAAAGCAGATGAAAGCTATGTGCAGTACCTTATCTGGCTTTTCTCCGTTAGTCGATGGGGATTTTGAACGTGTTCTTGTAGTTTGTTCAGACGGGGGCCTAGGTTTACTTAGGCTTTAACAAACGTCTCGCGACATTTCATAGATGTATTAACGTGGAAACCAGCTCCAAAAAGTTTATTATCGAAAACCGCCTTCAGGATGCTTTCTCTTAGTTGAGGAAATTGAAGCAGTCGCGGTCCTTCTTCAGCATTTCCAGTTTTGTCTCCTGGGCGTCGTAGATCTAAAAAAAATTAGTGAATTTTGTTTAGCGAACCTTGCTCGTGTTTCCGCCCACGTTCACATAGTTGGCGGGGATCTTCCAGCTGCTTTTGTACCAGCAGATGTGGACCTAAAAATTGTAACGGACGAGTTCGGCTCCGAACGTTCATTCCACAACGGTGGTAGATGTTGTATTTGAAGGTAATCGGCTCATCCTCGTCGCCAGAGCCTTGAAGGTCGAAAAAGCCGTTGGCATCCGTTGTAGCCTCGGCCAGTTTGTCGTCGAAGGTGTCTATAGTTCGGAAAAAAAAAATTTTTTTTTTTTTTTTTTTTTTTTTTTTTTTTTTTTTTTTTGGGGGGGGGGGGGTTGGAATAGAGGAAAATAAGGAAGGAAGGGGGGGGGGGGGAAAAAAAAAAAAAAAAAAAGAGAAAAAGTGTTAAATAAAAAAAAAATTATATTTTTGGTGGAAATAGAGAAAGGGAAGAGGGGAGAGGGGGGGAAAAAGGGGGGGGGGGTTTTTTTTTTTTTTTTTTTTTTGGGAAAAATAAATAGGAAAAAAGAAAAGGAAGGGGGGGGGGGGGGGGGGGGGGGGAAGGGGGGGGGGGGGGGGGGTTATTTATTTAAAGTATAACTTGACTTGAAGTCTGGGTTTTTAGGGACTTACAAGTGTCTTGGTCGTATATCTTGATCCTGGCGTCGGTGTACGGCGTTCCATCGCAGGTTAAGAGACTAAAAAGACAAATATCTGTATGAGGGCTTGCTGCTTTTATGTTAAGCTTAGATTTAGGCCCAGAGAAAATGAAAGCCGCTCCGTTTTAAAGTTAGATAAAGCTATGGATTTACATTTTTATCTTTACCCAGGTGAGGGCCGAACTTAAGGAAAATTCTTTTAATGTCGAAACCGGTTTGCAAAATCTGTATGCCGTGCAGTGATCGCCCGGTCGAGACGTCGCCCCTTCACCCTTCCCCTTGGAATATCCTCCGGACACGCTGACGGAAGTTGCATGCAAAGTGGCATACACACACACACACACAGACACTATTTTTTTATATATAGTAGGATTCGCATTAACTCACCCCTTAACACGAACCGATTGCTCCACGCCAGAAGCTACAGTAACTATTCCGGCTACAAATAGAAAAAATACGCCGGAATACCCCATCTTCGTTGATTTTAGAATGGAATTTTCAGCCTTGTCGCCGTCTTATATTCACTTTCACAAAGTGGAATGATGATGCACCCATTTTTCCTCAAAAGCCGTCGCAACAAATGGCCAAAAATGCTTGGAAATGACGAGGCAACAAGGGGCAACAAATTAGGACATGTTGACAATGTTTGGTTTTGCCGTGAAAAATCATGATTAATTGCAACTTTCGATGTGGGGCGTATACGATCATTTTCTTTCAGGTTTTTGAATCGGCGAACATTAAGTGCATAGGTACCAAAATATCCATGTAAATTCCTTTATACAATATGTTCAGCTGTACATCGGATCGGCTCTTATCGAGCAGCTTATTTCCGGTTGAACTTGTTGATGCAGTCGCGGTCTTTCTTGAGAAGCGACAGCTCGATGGTTCCGGCATCGTAGATCTGAAAAATAATCGTATTTAGAGATATCGATCTTAGAAACAATGCTTAGGTTTTTAAGCCTGATTTAACGAGTTACCTTGTCGGGATTCCGCCCAGAGGTCACGTAGTCGAACGGGATCTTGAAGCTGTTCTTATAGTAGCAGACCGGGACCTAGATTTTGGAATTCGACAGTAAGGAATGGTGTTCTTACAGTCATTCCGCAGCGATGGTAGAGGTTGAATATGGCGTTTAACCGGGTGACTTCATGGCCGACGCCTTGGATGTCAAAGTAGCCGCGGGAATCGGTCTTCGTTTCGGCCAGCTTGTCGTCGGGGGTGACTAGATTCGAGAAGAAGGTACAAAAAATTGGAAAATTACTTACAAGTATCTTTGTCGAATAGTTTCACCCTCGCATCGGCGTATGGCTTCCCCTCGCATCTCAGATAGCTAAAGAAAGATTTTAATTGTTCTTTAAAACCATTTTCATTCATTTTTCTTTCAATTACGTTGAAATGAATTCCAAACATCCTTGCATTTTGTAATTTCCAAACATAGAAAGCGTAAAATACTAAATAACAAAATAACAATTTTGACTAGAATTGGATGATTCATGGATTTATTTGACACAATTATCAATTTTTAAAAAATTGCCCTTTCTAAGGTGCAAAATTCGTTCGAACTTATCTAAAACTCACCCCTGTACCCGTACAGATTGATCATTTCCATAGACCGTCGCTGCCAAGCCGGCCATGGCCAACAGGAAGAAAGCAATTGAAGATTCCATTTGAAAGTAAGTGGAAAGTAATGAGAGTAAAGCTTGGTTTGAGAAGCTTCTGCCTTTCCGGTCCGCCACCTCGTGGTTATATACCAAACAAGCGCCCTTGATAACACATGCACTTGGCGGTTGGCCCGCAAAAACACAACTGATTCATGAGCCCCCTACCAAAACAGGTATCGAAATGTAATGGCCGTCCGGAATTTCATGTTTTTCATGGGCGGCCCAAAAGCGCCAAAAAATACACAAAAAAACCCGCGTGAACATTGAAAACAAACAGAAATGTTTTATTATCCACTGACCTCGAGGTTTTTATTTTGATTGCCTAACGCTTTAATACAACAAAAAGGAAAATAAGAAAGCGTTAGGCATCAGTTGACCCTTGCCAAACTTTTTTATTTTGGCTCCTAGCCAGCCTGATTCATCAAACTGGCAAAAAAAACAGTAAACGGACCATCAGTTGACCACCTCGGAGCCAACACAAAACTTTCTACCAAAAAGCAAAAAGAATTGCCCACTCACGGGATTGAACCGTGGACCTTCTGTTTACGAGACAGACGCTCTGCCACTGAGCTAAACGGGCACGGCGATGGGGGTTGGGGAGGGGGCCTATGAGGGGTGGCTCTTCGTCTCACGGTGAGGCCCACTCTCTCGTGCCCCCTCGTCCTGGGATCACCCAGCAAGGTTTCGGGCTCATCCACGCTAGCTTTTTCAAGAGAAAATAATAAAAATAAAACCATATCAAAATTAAATTGAACCTAATAAAGTATATTAATTACCATTTGTAATAAATAGGCCTTTTTGCCATCATATGTTGATGTCACCGCAACACCAAATGGCATCGCTATTGTTTTTTTTGGGTTCATTTTTCCTTTTTTGTCTATTTTCGCTATATTGATCACCTAATCAAATTTTGAGCTTTTCCTATAGTACTTTTCACACCGCCCTTTCTTGCTATGACGTTCGGCGAGCATGTTTTCAAAGCATTTAGCTATGAGAAAGTGCTGATTGCGAGCACTGATAGCAAATGCCTGTGCCCTTACTTATGCCCTTTTGCTAGCTGTTTTTTTACTCATTGGTTTTTAAAAAGGGCTGGAAAAGTTCAAAACTGTGGCGACCTGGTTCCAAACCTCGTAATTATCAAAATTGGCCGATAATTACAGACTTCATGAGGCGCTTTCCGAGGGTGCCTAGCCTCACCCAAATCAACAGCGAAAAATGTTTTTATTCATTTTATATCTCTTCAAAATTAGATTTAGCACTGTCCTTGGGATTATATGCATTAATGAAGATTTAAATGTTATTGGAAAGTAAGTTGATATAAAGTTAGCTTAGATATCTCTGAGCTCTCGGGTAAAGTCGAGAAAATGCGATTTTTTTAGTGAAATTCGGCGTTCGAATTGTAGTGGAGAACTCTGCTACTACGGAGCCAAAAAGGATACCGCAGGCGAGCAAAGATTGAGTGAGGCTCGATCTTGTGTGACTGGGCTGAAATATTTGCAACCCGGCTGTAGTTATATACAACCAGACGAACGATATTCGGCTGATTGTTATTGCAAGTATGTTTTGAGCCACATTATCGATCTCTGGGATTATAGTACCGACTTGTGTAATAAGTATCCTCCCGTATTTAAAAAGCAAGATGATGCCTGGATCGTTACATGGAATGGAAACAGTTTTTTGGCGGAATATTTGAATTACGATGTGGAATGTTATGTGGTTGATGTGCGTTAAAATTTAAAGGTCCATTTGTGCCGTCGCCAGCATGGAAAAACGCCAAAATCCCGACGAAATTAATCCCGACAGCCCTAATCACGACATGCCAAATGGCTGCTGGAACGAAACCGGCATTCATACTAGCGTCGATTAGGGTTTTCGGGATTTTGGCACACCATGACGTAAGCTGTCAGGTGGCCGATCACCTGTTCGAAAATCATCTGTTCGAAAACCATCTGTTCGAAAACCATCTGTTCGAAAATCATCTGTTCGAAAATCACCTGTTCGAAAATCATCTGTTCGAAAATCATCTGTTCGAAAAGTCATCTGTTCGAAAATCATCGGTTCGAAAATCACCTATTCGAAAAAGGTCCCAAATGGGGAAAAATTCTATGCGAAGCTATTGCTAATAAAATGCTATGTTTTGCATGTTTCGTGGGGACGTTCGAGGAAAATCTGAAATTGCCCGCCAATCCGCCGCCTCCTCCGCCAATCCAAAGAAGCGCCCGAGGGTGACCATCGACGAGCAGCAGCAGCTCTGCGAGAACTACAGCAAGGAATATATGGCCGAGTTCCTCGACAATATCGCCAAAACTTTAACCTGAATCTTCATGAATATGTCTTTTTGCTTTTTTGTTTTTGTTTAGTTTTTTTTGTCATGAAAAGTCTTTTCAAAAAAACGTGAATTTTGGAAAAGTTGTTGCTTCGAAAACGGTGATTTTTCGAACAGATGATTTTCGAACCGATGATTTTCGAACAGATGACTTTTCGAACGGATGATTTTTCGAACAGATGTCTTTTCGAACAGATGATTTTCGAACAGATGATTTTTCGAACGGATGATTTTCGAACAGGTGATTTTCGAACAGATGATTTTCCACAGGTGATAGGGAATCAAGCTGTCGGGATTTTTTTTGTCGGTATTAGGACTCTCGGGATTTTTGCTGTCGGTATTTTGACGCAGGGATTATGGTCTTTCGGGATTTTGGCTTTTTGAATTTTCGCTGTCGGGATTTTCGCTATCGGTATTATGTTTGCCACGATCTCGGCTGTCGGTGTTTGGATTGAAATTCCTTTAGTACATGTCCGAACCGTTTCAACTACCGCTGTCAAATTGGACCCAATTGGAGTTCGAGCCGTTGCAGGACATCTTCAGAATCGGACCCAGCTGCACTCTTAGAGCACAAATGGCAAGGAGTACTCCAAAATCGACAAACTTTCCCAAATCAGGTCCAACAATATGCATGGTCCAACTACCAGTTTTCCGGCATGTTCGTGCCTGACTTTGTCACGTACACCTATGCAACGCCCGGCTGGTTTCTGCCGTAGAGTTTATATCGGTTTTTTCACAAATTAAATTCCTTAGCTGGTACGACAATGGGCTGTACGCATTTCATGGAGATGGTTCGGTGGAATTCTTCAAATCTTGCAAAAATGTATGGGAATCTCGGATGTTCAATATTTTGTTTCAGCATCGCTGTAATACTTTTGCTATTAGTGATTTTACCGCCAGGCCAACTGTAGAATGCTATACATCAAGGTCGGGTAAGTGGATTTTAAAGGGCACGTTCAGGGACGTTTTTTTGGAGAAAAAACAAAGATTATTGCCGCGCCCGGGGATCGAACCCGGGCCCCCCCGCTCGGGAGGCGCGGATGGATACCAGTCATCCACAGCTACAACCATGGGCGCCCCACGCCGCAAAGGAGGGAAATTGCCTGCCACGGCACAGGCAGGCAGCGCGCGCGGTCCCTACGTCCATAGGGTGTACACGTTGGGCGGAGTACACGGCCCCTCCATGAACGTGCGCTTCAATTGGTTTCCGGGATTCCGGTATTACTACGAGCTTTTTTAGAGAATTTATTTGGCGATAATTGCCGCGGACATTATTGTGTCTATTTTTACATAGTTCAGGTGAGAAAATGAATAAATCGAGTTTTTGAAGCGCATGAAACTTACGATATTACGTAAGGTTTAGCCCTCATATACTATCTCTATTCAAAACGGTAGGCGAGGATGTTTTTGGCAGAATGAGATGCAGGCCGTGGGTCGAATTGAGGTATCAGAATTTCAAACTTGTAAAGTAAAAATTCTGGCTTAGACCTCGATATACAAGACCAACGGAAAATTCCGGACGTATCTGTGCGCGGAAGATTTTTGTAATAAAGACGAAAAGACTGCAAATGCCTCAATTTATGGGCAGGCTAACTTATGAAATAATTATTTTATGCCGAAACCAACTTAATTTTTCCATAGTTTGTAATAAATGACAGGGTATCGGTAATTCTGTGAGAACAAGAAATCCTCATCCAGCTTGAGCAAAAGATATAAAAATTAAAACTGGTTCTCAGGACCTTTGTGATCGAGAAATCGATTGTTGGACGATTATAACACGAGGCTAAATTTCAATTTTTAAAAGTTTTGATAAATCCTACCCTTATACAGCAGTAAAATGCGCCGGTTACCATCGAATCTTGCGTATTTTCTACAGTTGGAGTCTTACTGCCTGACCTGAGGAAAAGCACGGACATCAGGCTAAAGGTTACAAATGTTTTGCAAATGACAAAAGCCTTACCCAGCCAATACGTTCAAAAATAATGGCAGAAGTGTGGTTGGGATAAAAAGCAGCAACTTTCGATAGGTGTAGGTATCGTAGAAAAATGAGGAGCAAGCGACACCCGCGACAGTAGCAGATAGACCATAAATATGGTTTAATAGCATCTAAAAGTGCGCTATTACTCGAAAATGTGATAAAAACTCCGAAAGTCAATTCTTAAATTTGTTTTTCATGTTTCGAAACAGGTTACGAACCTGTTGTAAAAGTCGAACTTCGGCCCCGCGCGTTTTCTTGAACTTTTTCTAAACATTCGCTCCAGGAACATAGCTGTTTTCAAAATACCTGGCTTTTGCGAAGCAACCAATAAGTCGCGATATCCAATGCAAATGATATACAGGTAATTGCCATCGTGAAAATGCGAATAATCTGTTGAAATACCAAAAAGCCTGCAAGTTCGGGGCTGTTCACGGCCTGCTCTCCGACAACGCCAATCATATAGGTGAGCACGAGAAAATGGCATGAGGTGTTAGCTAAAAACTCTTCTAAATACGCTAAAAAGCCAAAATTTCACCATTTCAACCCCAGGATTTTAAGACTAATTTTGTTGTTTCAAAGGCCACTCAACCAACTTGCATATTGATAGGCAAAAATGGCGATAAATGGGAGCAGCACCAAAATTGGCTGAGCATATTTAAAATAGCGCGTGATGTCAAAGAATCGGCTTTGGAAGGCGACCGTAAGGAAGCGGCTGACCGAGAGGCTGAGCGCCAATAGGTAGACGGCGATTTGCATGCTCCACTCGATCGAAGTGGTGATTCCGTTTAGTTCGATAATTATTCGGAGTAAACCGGTGATAACACTTGAAACTAAGACTGCTAACTTTCCCAAAACCACTTGATATTTACATTTTAAAGAAAGAAAATACTTTCGAAAATGACCACCTGGTTTAGAACTAGAGACCATTTATTGACTCAAATCCCTGTCTTTACTCCCCGTTTTTAGGAAAACGTTTAATTTACCCAAAATATACTTTTTATTATTATTTTTCTACCCATATAAATTTTTCCAAAAAATCGATTTTCACGCGAGAAAGACCAGAAATCTTAGAGTCCAATACAAAAGTGTCTCAAGTTTTTTAAATTAGTGGTCAATTTTCCGAAAAATACCTGACTATGGATCCTTATTTTTCCATGCAGGTTTTTATACAAAAGAGCCTAAATTATAAATATCAAGATGTTTTTTCGGGAATTACAGAAAGATGTCTCAGTTTTCCAGATGTATGCTCCTGAGGCCGTGCTAAAAAGCGTAGTAATGGTCTTAATAGAGGTATTTTATACATGCGACGTCTACCCGCTTTTGGGTGTTTAATGTTAGCCACTCACATACCCATAAGTTTCGATATAGCAAGCTTGATACAGTACGATTAACGCTATCACGATTCGTAGCATATGGTCGAGGATGATATTGTGGCATACAAAATCCGTAAGACTTGGATTCTTTTGAACGATTCTGATCGCGACGAGATTCGTGATGATGGACAGAGAAGAAAACTGAAAATAGACGGCATATATTTTAAGGTATCCTCCAAAAAGCGCCTTACCGTGCCCATCGTCACCACCACGATCCGATCTACATACGGCGGGTTGCGGGTGAAATACGTATACCAAGACCCATATTCCATCTTCGTTTCGTCGAACAGTAAGGCCTCATGCTGGTAGATGCTGCGGACCTTCATATGCAGTTCATGAGGTATCGGGAAACCATTTGAAAAGTAGTATACCTTTGCCAGGCAGACTGAGACGATAGATCTTACATCACAAACAACAATACACACCCCATAATTAGGAGCGAAAATGCTGCTGCAAGTTCAGGGCCTCTTTTCTCCTGATAATCACGTGCGAATGGTGCACAGGGTACAAACAAAAAAGTAACAAGGTCTTATTACTTAGGCTATAATTATGTCGCACTTTTGTTTAGAGAAGATCTGTGCGCCTAGTCAAAGGATATTCAACGTTCTTAATTAAGAATATTTTAATTCCTTTTAAACCGGCTGTTAGCGCAGTCATTCTTCTTATCAAAATTTCTAGATGATCAATTCCGGTAGTTTGCTAGTTTCCCCACAGTTAGTCAGATAACTTACAAAGATTCCGATTACAGGCTCAAGTCAAGTAACTCATAGAATAAAACACTAAGAAAAACTACTATTTCCGGGCATGTTTCTCTTTCCGCTCGCAATTTTTCGATTTCTATCTCTCAACCACCACCCCGATCACGATTTCATGATCGTCAGCCGCGCCCGAAATTGGAACACCGCCCGAGACATGGCCTTGGTGGTCGATATTTTCAGGGCGTTGCCCGGGAATCGTGGTTGAGTCATCGGGTTTTGTGGATCAAAATTGGGCGCGAAAGAGGTGAGATGGGAGATGGAAAAAAGTGTGGCTGAGTTTTCGATGATGCGGATGGGGTAGAAAAGGAACATGGGTGGGGTCGAGGGAGGATAGTGGCGGGGGTAACGCCTTGTGAAACAGGCTTTGGATTCGGTGGGATATAAAGGGGGATGGCGCGGGGACAACAAGGTTCCATCTCGTTCGTATTCGGGCTGGAATAAGTTGATTGGCTTATGATTTGCTTGATGCCGGCGATTTTTTTATTTTTTCAAGTTTTTGAGGCTTCTTAAAACGACTGGGAAGTGCCAAAATCGACCCTTTCGACCGGCTAGGTATCGTCAGCTACGCAGCGCTTTAAATGGTGGTGGCCAGTATATAGGCGGTGGCCAGACAAAATTCAAATTAGTTTCGTGCCTCCTTTGGTGAATTAAGTATCCAGTCGATACCTATCCAAAAATAGGGTCGATTGTGGCATGTCCCGTTTCTGGTAGCAACTTTTTTTCAAGCTACTTTTATGGCAATTTTAAGTATAAAGCTATATGCATTAATTACGGGGATATATAGCCAGAAAAGCTACCGTTTTATATAGGTTTGATAGCCAATCCATTAATTTTAGGGCCGCAACATTACTTCGTACATATTGAGCCCCGGTTTTTACCAATTTCACACGTGGCTTACCGCCTTCGAAGCAAATTTTTAGTGTTATTTGGAGCGTAACGTATTTGTCGAATTCTAATCCGCGGTGAGGGCGCTGTTAACGTCTTTCAATATCTCTAAAAATTACATTATATTTTTCCACACATCTGAGGGATTTGTGCGAATTCCCAGACAGTAATCCTTCGACAACCCACCTCGTCGAAAGCACCCAAAAATCACTGACATTTGCCTGCCCCTCCTTCCCTACCCGTTTTCCACTATTTGCCATTTCCATTGCGGCGAACTGTGGCCGGCTTTTTTGGCTGTAGAAAGGAGCCGAAAGGAAACCCAAGCGGGGCAGTGGAGGGGAAATGCGTAAACATTTCGTATTTATGCCCGGGCCACCCATTCAGGTGGTCAGCCAGCGAAACACGAAAAAAGAAAAGAGATGGAGTCAGAAAAAGAACTGTGGTGAGTTGGTTGGCATGAGGAGTTGTGCGTAGTAGTCATAGCGCTGTGTGTGGGGAGAGCTCTCAAAAATTCTGCATCTCACTGGCTGACTGACTGGCAGATTTTCAAACAAACACGGGTTTTTTCGTTTTTGCTGGGCCCGTTCGAGTGGTGGATTAGGGCGATTTCGAGAGGTTCACTGGCGGCCCACGCACCGATTTTTTATATATATATACTTTATTCAGTAGTTGAATAAGAGTGGGGAGTAGGCAATGTGTGGTGCCACTGGTTCAGAGGTTGTATAACATGCGGAAACAAACGGGGGAGGGAAGAAAAGATCACAGAAATTGGGACAGGTCCATTTTTTCTAAAGTTACACGAAAGCTCTTTGCATTTCCCAATTGACCTTCTTTGAAGACCCTAGGCGGGAGCTTATTCCAGGTTTTCGCAACTCTACGCGAGAAGAAAGAACGGGGGAAACCTTGCTTACTATGGATTCTCTTCACTTGAAAAGCATGGGAATTCCTTATCGGACGATTTGTGCATTCCAAAAATTTGAAGGGAAAAGTTTCTACAAAAAAAGACTTATAAAATGTAACTAAATCCGCTTCTGTTCTACGGTGCGCTAGAGTGGGAAGGGAAAAGAATTTTAGTCGATCTGGGTAACAGGGCATAGGCTCATTTGGGAACAATCAACTATAATAATTTTGTTGTGGTCTCCGTCTGTCTGTGTGAAGCCGAATTCAACTCGAAGGGGAAAGGAGCTAGAGCTTAGCTCTCTTCGGATTCGGGTAGAGCGTGGTCAGAAACCCCCAAACTCATAAAAAAATTATGAAAAAGTTTTAGTTTAAATTATTAAAATTAACTTTGAAAGTTTTTCCCTTAGTAAAAGGGGTGGGGGACGGAGGTTGGGGTGATTTTGGACATAGTGAGCCAGGTGGCGCGCGTTTCGTGGATGAAAATTTTCACGGGGGATTTCCTTTCTTTTTCTCTCTCATTCCATCCGGTCGGTCTTTATTTTCGTTTTTTAAAAGGATTTCGGCTAAGGGAGGTATCTAAAGCCATCAGGGAGGTATTTAGGTAGTTTTTGAAGGGGATTTCAGCCATGGGTGGTATCTGAAGCCATCGGGAAGGTATTTAGGTAGTTTTTGAAGGGGATTTCAGCCATGGGGGGTATCTGAAGCCATCGGGAAGGTATTTAGGTAGTTTTTGAAGGGGATTTCAACCATGGGGGGTATCTGAAGCCATCAGAGAGGTATTTAGGTAGTTTTTGAAGGGGATTTCAGCCATGGGGGGTATCTGAAGCCATCAGAGAGGTATTTAGGTCGTTTTTGAAGGGGATTTCAGCCATGGGGGGTATCTGAAGCCATTAGGAAGGTATTTAGGTAGTTTTTGACGGGGATTTCGACTACGGGGGGCTATTGATGGAGATGAGAAAGGATGTGGTGGAGTGGGACATGTAGGGTAGCTCGAAGGCCAGATGGTTGCAGTCGCGAAGCGACTGTAACCATCTGGTTTCTTATAGGCAAAGAAAGTAAATTTACGTTGGACACTTTCAAGTTCATTGATGTTTCGCTTTTTGGTTGGGTTCCAAATCTCGGAAGCGTACTCCAAAATCGGCCTAACTAAAGTACTGAAAGCACGCCGGTACGTGATCGCATTTGGAATTTGAATTCTTTTGATAAGAAGGAAGGATATACGAGCGGCTTTTAATCGGATAGCGGCGATATGCGATTCAAAGTTAAATTTCTGATTGTAAGTGATCCCTAGGTCCTTAATCACATTTGTCCTTGGTATCCGGGTATTGTCTACGTAGAGATCTTGGAAACGGGCTGGGGGAATGTTCGTTAGGATAAAAGTTTTGGAGGTTGAAAGCGACATTTCATTTTCAACACACCAGCTTTTGACCGCATTTATATCTGCCTGGAGGGCTCTAAAAGCCGGATCAGCCAAGGTGGGGTTGCGTGGCACGCCGGCGTAAATTTTTAAGTCATCAGCAAAAATTAGGCTACTGTTCGTTAGAAGGGAAGGAAGATCGTTTATATAGATGAGAAAAAGTAGTGGGCCTAATACGCTACCTTGAGGGACTCCTGAGGGTTGTGGGTGGGCGTTCGACTTTTGATCACCTATTTTCACATAGAAAGATCGATTTGTCAAATAGGCTTCAATCCAAGTAACCAATATCTGCGGAAAACCTATATGAGAAAGCTTAGTGATTAAAAGTGCGTGGGAAACTTTGTCAAAAGCTTTGGCTAGATCAAAATAAATCGTGATAGGGTCCTCGTCGGCGTCGATTTTCTCAGAGATTTTGTGAAACAT